GATGCTCTCCAAGGACTTGAAGAGGCTGTCCCAGGTGGAGCAGAGTTCTGGGAAGGGGAGGAGGAAGAGGATACGGTGGATGAAGATCCCGTGGTAACAGCCGCGGAAGCGGAAGCAATGGCAATGACTCCCGAAGACATCATCGCTGCGGAGATGATGGAGGATTAATTTCTGAGAGGGCACAGCCGCGAACGAGAGCATGCGAGCATGTTTCCATGCTGGTGGTTGTAGCCTAGGTCTCAGTCTCAGTGTAGGTCCATAGTCTATAGTCTATAGTGTAGTAGTTGAATCTTAGCCAGCCGTGCGTTGGTCGCGTGTGAAGTTGCGAGACGCCTGGTAGTTGTCGAAGTGGCTGCTTGATTTATCTTGACGTCTTGACGTGGTGTAGCAAGTGAACCACCAACTGCAGCGTCTGCAGCGTGGCAAAATGCGCGACCATTTCGAGTGCATGAGCGCTGATGGACCCACGTACTCACGCGGTCGTTCGGACTCACACATGAAACATCAGGCAGATGCATCATGATGCGCAGGTTCATTGCACGCGCATGTTCATGTCACAGTGTAGCGGTGGCACCCGCTGCAGAGCACAATGCTGTCACAAGCGCAGGGTTTGGATGTAGATGTAGTACGTAGCTTGATGCTAGGCAGCCTCCACAAACTTCCACGGCTACTTCAAAAATTGGGAGAGCTACAAAAATGCTCTCTCCGTGGTCCACACCTTGCACCGTCTCTCGGTCAAGGACAAATTCGAGAGGTGGGCCAATGCCCACTTGGACTTCCTCCACCACGATATAAGCCCATCTTCGTGCATCACCCTGATGCACAGCTTGATTCTGCTGCTCAACAGCAGTCTCAAGCGGTTCTACCCGAAGTCGGTGCAGGGTGTCTTGGTGTTGGAGGCCATGAAGCATTGCGCTCGGTGCTCAGCGCCATGTAGCATGTAGCCAGCCCTGCGTCAACATCATGCATAGCATCATCATCATCACAGCATCATGCCAGTGCACATCACGAGATCATGAACCCTCCTAGCCAGACTGACCTGGTAAGGTTCCCACGCTGAACTCAGGGCGGGAAAGGACCATGCAATGGATTTTTTCCAAAGGAGGAGCAGACACCTCACGCAGAATGAACTTGCTGAACCTTCCCATGAAGACCTCCATGGCGTGCAAGAAGATGCAGCAAATGGAGACACCCGAGCAAGCCCGTGGCAAACAAGCATCGAACCCGGCAGACATTCTGAAAGCAAAGCTTCTCGAGGTTTTTCCGTCGGGTCCGTCGGGCGCGGGCTCGTCGGGGACACAAGCGGGGCAGTCGGGGACGTCGGGCAGTGACAAGGGCGGTGATCAGCCGCCAGCAGATGTGAAGAAGAATGAGCTCAAGAAAGCGGCTTTCACTGGCTACCAGAAAGCGGAGAAGGAGAACTACTCCACAGAGCTGCGAGGCTTGGATACGGATGACGTGAGAGATTTGACCGCCCTTGACGAGGCAATGCTGGCACTGCGATACGCCGCCCAGTTTGTGAAGAAGCGGAACGCAGTTGCTCAGGCGGACGCGGAGGAAGATGGGGACGCAGAGGAAGATGTGGACTTGGTCGAGACCAACACCTTTGACCTTTTGGCGAATGATGACATGATCAGCAGCTTCACGTTCTGCGTATCCATTTTCTACGAGTTCTTGTGGCAAGGGCAGGCCATGTTCATGTTCATGGTTCATGAGATCATGACTTCACGTGACACGCCGACGCGTCTGACACGTCCACGCCATGTCATGCCAGTTGTGAGTCATGCAACCTGCCGGGCAAGTCACGGCTAGTGTGGCTTTCATGCGCTCGCAAGGTGGTGGTCAATGGCAAGGACGTGCGTGCTTGGTCTGTTCTGCGCACAGAGATACAGCACATCCTTGTGAAGAGCCATGAGAAAGCCTTCCAGATCCCAGCAGGTGGCAAAGGCGACAAGCAAGATGGCAAATCGGCATTGTCTGCGATGGAATTGGCAGAGCTGCTGACGCAGGACTTCTTGCAGAAGCCTGCAGAGACAGTGGAGTTTGGGGAGGGTCTGGATGAGGAGGACCTGCACGGTATACGTATCCGTGTCCCGTGTAGCATTCTGACAGAATCATGACATGACTTGTGTCCCTCGGGCCCTTCGGGCCCCTCGGGGACTGCCTTGCCAGTGAGCGTAACCTATAGCCTCCTGATCAGGAGCAGGCCACGCAAAGGATCACAACCTCCAGATCCCAGATGGGCCCGTTGGGCCACTTTGTGAAAGAGAAGATGCGCCTGCCATTCGCGCTGCATGAGTGCCCTGGCTCCACGCTGAAGCAGGGTCGCCCAGGTGCTATCCACAGGCGAGAAGACCCTCGACCTTATGGACTTGTTGAGCATGCTGAAAGAATCGCTCGTGAGCCTAGTGCCTTTCTATTGGTTCACGTTCGCCTTGGATGTCTCCACGGTGTACGCCAGCACGGGCCACTTCATAGAGAACACTCAGGAGGCTGACACGACAAGACGTCAAGTCATAGCAGTGGTAGTGACTAGTGGTAGTGGTGAAGTAGTGCTAGCCGTCATAACCTTGTGCCTTGTGCCTTATGCTACGTCATGGCTGTCATAACGTGACACGACACGTGGTGCATGGTATGACGTCCCTTGACCGTCACTTGTCATCACATGACATGACACACGACATCACACATCGCGTGGCATGACATGGCATCATGACAGGACATGACCGTCATCATGAGTCATCATGGAGTCAAGGAGTCATGGAGGTTTTCCTGTCGACGGCCTACCTGCAAAAGTTCATGGGCCTGAGACTCCGTTACATTGCCAGCGTTTGCGCAGACATCATCACGACATTTCTTTCGCAAGTGAAGGTGACAGCTGAAGAAAAAACCATGCTTGAGACGGTTGCAAAGTTGGCCCAGACCGCAGATCAAGCACCTGCCTCTACGCCGGACATGCTTTCGAAGGTGGATTTGATTTCCTTTGACACGCTTCAGACAAGTGGCACTTGGGTGAACGCGTGGGCAGAGTTGCTGCGCAGCCCCTCTGAGATGGAGATGGCGCAGAAAGTGAAGCAAGTGATCGGAGCGCCACCACCTGAGGGTGTTCAGCAACATGCTGGTCGCTGGATTGCATGAATAATGCATGATTGAAGCAATGATATCTCCAAGTGTTTTGGACATGTGGCATGTGGACATGTCGTTGCAGTGGGTTTGGCTGTCATGATAAGTCATGACGAGTCCCATGTTATCATGATGTTAGCCAGCAACCTGCATGAGTCATGAGCCCTCAACAGCATTCGTGAGGCGTGCGTGCACGGCCTGCCCAACATTCCAACAGCCCAACAGCAAACTGAGGTGCAAATGCGGCCCACGTGGGACTCCAATTCTTTTCAACACCTCCGAGCAAGGGCTCTGCGTCCAAGGAAA